TTTTTTTTTTTTTTTTTTTTTCGGTACCAGGGATTGAAGTCGGGTCCTTGCACTTTCGAGGCAAGTAGCAGAGCCACTGAGCTAAATCTCCAGCTTGGCTGAGGCCTTTTGTTTCTGCAGGCCTGGAGGTGACATCCTAAGAGGCTCTATGAACTGGAGTGGGCCGGATCCTTGGAGCAAATCCTGTACAAACTGCATTGCTGAGAAGCAGCAGCTTGCAGTTGGAGGCCCTGGGAGAGGAATTCTGCCCCGAGGCTCAGTTTCACCATCCTCATGTGGCCAAGTGTAGTCCTAGGAGGGCAGAGTGGATGCAAAGGGAGAGGGGCTTCCTGGAAGAGGTTAGGGTAGGATTCCCTGAAGGTGGGCAGCACCTGGAGCCCCAGCCGTCCCCACCCAGTCCCTGCAGTTATGACTTTGACTCTCCTCAGAGACATCAGTGCTGGACACCATAACACACTGTGATGCATGCAGAATATCTGGGGTCAGGCTGTGTCTAGAATAGTGAGAGGCCCCTGTGTGTCTGTGTGGGATTCCTGAAGGCTGCCTCTAGCCTGAACTCACCAGGCGTACGCACAGGTGCACCCACACCACCTCTGGCACAGACTGGCGTGGAAGGCAGCTGCTTACTTGCTCTAAACCTGCCGAGCCTTTGGGAAACCCCAGTGTTTAGCAAGGGGGGTTGCACGATGACAACCACGACTGAGTCCAAGAGTTCAGGATTTTCATGTGACGACTACAACCCAATCTCAGCATGCTCTGGATACTCCCACCCACGATACGGTGGTAGCATGGGAGAACTGAGGCACAGAGGTCAAAGGTGCATGGACCCAGAAGGGAATCCCCATACCAGGTTCAACAACGTCTGAAATTACTATGCTAATGAGGAGGCACAGGTAGAGGACACAAGTAAACCAAGCACCTGACCACCATTGCTGGCTGTGGGCATCCCACTCCTCCCCCACCCCAGGCGTCCGTTTCTTAGCTGAGACCAGGGCCATTTTCGTCCCGTGGGTCTGGGGATTTCCTATGCTGGGCACCAGAGCCTATGACACATCGGAAGCAGAGGGGAGGTGAGAGACTTCCCCCGAGGTCACCCATTTCATAGTCCAGGAAGGTGAGGCTCGGGCAGCTTAATGACCTCCGCAATTAGGGCCCCAATGCCAGGCCGGTGTCCCCTTGTGAGGATGAGGGACTGCCCTACCCGGTCACACTGCTGAGTCCCAACCCTCCCCAGTGTCAAGGCAGGCCCTATCCACTTTGGCTGGATGGGGGCTACTGGATGCCCACCAACCTTTTGCCCAGGCATGACCTCCCATGTCACCTCTGCGGCTCACTGTCCCTATGCCAGGGGTAAGGTGTAGCAGAGTGTGGTGGCCCAGGGCGGAGCTGCACTGCTGATTTAGCGCTGCAGTGTACGGAAACTCCAGCTATCCCTGTGGGGCGGGGACACAGGCGGGGCAGGGCTTGGACGGCAGAGGAGGAAGGGCGCGGGACAGGGAGGTGCGCGCCTGCTATTGGGCAGGATGTGCTCGGGGCGGGGCTCGAGTGAGAGGCGGAGTTTAAGGCTCTCCAGACTCGGCGAAGTGAAACGGGGGTGGGGCTCAGGGCCCCGGAGGCGCCGTTTTGATTGAGGGGC